CGTTTTTTATTTATTTATTATTTTGGTCAAATTGTTTCTGGTTTTCAAATAACTTTTTTGGAAAAAGTGGACTGCACTTGTTAGTCCAGTTTGACTACATTAATGAATGTGCTTTACAGAGGTAGACAGGATGCAAGAATGGCAAGGTATTATAAACAGGACATCATCATCAGGAATATCATCATGCTCTGAATCCTGTAAGGCCCCAAATTTCATTCTTGAGGGATTATTGGCATTTTAAAATTCTTAAATTTAGTAGAAAAGCCGCCCAGGACAGGGGAACTTTTGGGATCTGCCCTCCTTCAGTTTCATCCTTTCCAAACTTTCCGATACTGAGATAGGGCCATGGTGGACTGAGATGTTCACACCGGTGTCTATTTGTTTGAAAGACTATCTGTTTTCTCATGTAGCACCCAGTCAGGACAAAGATAATGGATGTGAACTCTGCCTCAGGCCTTTGCAGGATGTTTAAGGATTTGGACAAGTAGTTACAGGCCCTGGCTTTGGGCCTTTTGTCTCTCTTTCGGCTCTTCTTAACTATGTGCCATTTGTATTGTTCAAAGGGCTATATCAACCAATAAGGCCTAATAAAGCTACTTTGTGTTTTTTTTTTTTACTTTTGTAGTAAACTTTACTGTTTTTTTTTCTTCTTCTTCTTTTTTTTTTTGATACAGTTGTACAGGCTGCACATTTTACAGACTTTTTCCCACAGTGGACTTCCCATGTCATCTTATTGTGGGATACTGGACAGCCACACACCTTCAAATATCACTTAGTGTTGTTCGGCATACAACCATGAATTGCTCTTAATGGATCCATTACAAATTCCCAGGGATAAAAGTCCCCAATCTACTCCCACCCCCACCTCTCCAGCCTCGATCGCTCCTGGCACAGCAAGGAGCCGAATAAGTGAAACTGTGACTTTTGGCAGTGGAGACCCAATTATTTGATTTGGATTAAAGATCCAGGCCATACCCCATGGTGCTGTTCAGTGCTGTCGCCTGTGGAGCAGCTGCAGCGCTGTTGAAAATCTAATGGGCGTGTGGCACTTGGACAAGTTTAATTGATCTTTCTTTTTGTCTTTATGTAATATGGTTATTGTAAAATAGTGATGGGCGGAATGTAGGGCTGAACGATTTTGGAAAATCTAATTGCAATTTTTATTGTATTTTTTTTACCAATATTGCGATCGTGATTTAATATGCGATTTTTTTTTTTTTAAAGCTCGTTATGTTCTGTATTATTCAACAAAGACCATGCAGTGGTTCTCAAGCTTTTTTGGTCGCGACCCCCTTTAAACCTATAAGAAAATCTGAAAAAGAAAATCCACCTCAGACTACCAAATAATTTCTTTAAACATTATGAAAAATTAATGCTTTTTTTAATTTAAAAAACCTACAGGGAAAAAAACACCTGCATCACTTGAAACATTGAAAAATAGCATAGAGAGAATTTAAAGTAAAAAAAATACATTTTTTACATACTGTATTATTGTTTCTCCTCTATGCCCCGCCTTTTTTCGATTTTTACAAAGCTCATCGGTCTGAAAAGCGAGGTGTGCGCAGATTGGCCAGCTATCCAGTGCGTTGTGATTGGCTGAATACCTCAAGCGTGTGATGGAGCCTGGGTCTGTGCGACTTCATCTATGGCTTTTCTCTTCCCTTTCACAACCCGATCTATCTCCCATTCTAAGTTACGTCCTTTGGCTGTTTACGATTTTATTTATTTTCTTTTTCTGCTGATGGAGTACGTTTGAAGTACGTTCATTATATACGCTTTCAAATATTTCCACGTGTAACGTTAGCATGCCAGGGTTGCCAGGTTTTCACAACAAAACCCGCCTAATTGCTACTGAAAACTAACTGTCCGCAACAAACAATGTTGATCTGCCGTGGTACAAGTCCTTGTGGAGATTGAAAGAATGCCATCATCTCCTGTTCCGTTGTTGTCTCCTTTTTGTAGTTTTAAATAATGATTTAATGATTTGATATTTATTTGCCGCCGTCACGGCTATAATGCTTCTCCGACGAGCCGTTTCTTCTTCAGCTTTTGCCATGGTACTGCGGGTTACACCAGCAACATGCCCGTGGACAGAACTGACTAGCGGTTTGCATGTGTACTGCACGTTGACGCAGACAACGACGCAGAAGTATAAATGAAAACTGATGCATAGCCTACGGCGTAAAGGCTACCGCGTAGGTCCGACGCAGAAGTATAAATCAGCCTTTACTTTCGCGTGTCACGTGACCGAGTGTAATCGCAGCCTCTGCGATTGAAAAATCGCGTTTTGTCATATCGCGATATTATCGCAAATGCAATTAATCGTTCAGCCCTAGCGGAATGGCAAAAATCTTATATTCTTATATCACAGTAGTAGTATGTAGTAATTTTTTGCTGAGAACTGCCTGTACCTTTTTCTGTACCTCTGTCTTTTCTGTTTGTTTGTTTGTTTGTTTCATTTATTTATTAATTTATTTTTATTTAGAACTTGATTGTATTCTTTTTAAAATGTATTTCTCTGATTTTATTTATTTATTTTTATTTTATTTATTTTTTTGCATTTTTTATTTTGAGAACTTGCCTCTATCTTTTTTGTTCTTATTTTTGTTTTATTTATTTATTTTTATTGTTTGGGGAATTTCTTTGATTTTGTTTTTCATGTCTTTTTTTGTCTTGTTTTTTTAATGATTTCTTTTTGTTTTGACCTTGAGTACCTCTATCTTTTCTTTTTATTTATTTATTTATTCATTCATTCATTTATTGTTCTTTTGTTTTGGTTCAGTTTTTGTTTTTATATGGGTAACTTGAGTGTATCGGTCTTTATTTTTACCATTTCTTTCTTTTTTTATTCTGTTTTTTTTCAGTTAATTTGTATGATTTGATATTTTGCAATGTTACTTAGTGACTGTAAATGACCTATATTTACGTTAAATGCATGTGACTCATCAAAACGAAATTGCTCCCAACAAAGCTATAATCAACAAGGCTATCTACACTGAAAGTGTGGTCTGTTGCACCATTTGAAGTGTAGGCTGTCATTTTATTTTTTTGTGTCCTTATATATTTGCACCACAGATTTACAGTATAGCAGAATCTGTTTTTATATGGGTAACTTGAGTGTATCGGTCTTTATTTTTACCATTTATTTCTTTTTTTTTATTCTGTTTTTTTTTTCAGTTCATTTGTATGATTTGATATTTTGCAATGTTACTTAGTGACTGTAAATGACCTATATTTATGTTAAATGCATGTGACTCATCAAAACGAAATTGCTCCCAACAAAGCTATAATCAACAAGGCTATCTACACTGAAAGTGTGGTCTGTTGCACCATTTGAAGTGTAGGCTGTCATTTTATTTTTTTGTGTCCTTATATATTTGCACCACAGATTTACAGTATAGCAGAATCTTTACATTGTCATACCGCCCAACCCTGTTGTAAAAGAATGCTTTAAGAAGAAATCAAACAACTTAAGTGCCTCAACTGAATAGTGACTCATGGTGAGTGCTGATGACACATCTGTCCCACACAGCATGATCTCTAACTTATCAAAATGCAATTACCACCCATTCCTATCAGCATACTGGTATATTTGCATTAACACCCAAAGAGGTCTGCTTGATAGGGGAGGTTACTGTTTCATCTCAGTTGAACAATCCTATCTAAGTGTTGATAGCACTTCGGGAAGCCCACCCTGTTATAGCATTACTGCCTGTTGACTTAATGTCTCTGGTTTCTCAATGATAGATTATATTCACATTAGAAGATCTCCGTTTGCGCCCTTTTGCTAGGATATATCACTTATCTAGTAGACTCATGCTGTGGTTTCCACCCGTACTGATGTTTTTCACTAAAATAATATTTTTCATGAGCTACACTTAAAAATAAAGGTTCTTTATTGGTGTCGATGGTTCTATGAAGAACCTTCAACATCTGTGGAACCCTTTCTTTGCACAAAAGGTTCTTTATACTGGAAAAAGCTTCTTTAGATTTTTAGAATGTTCTTCACACTAAAAAAAAATTTCTTTTAAGAACTGTTCACTCAAAGGTTCTTTGAGGATCTAAAAATCACTTTTGGAACCTTCATTTGTAAGAGTATAGAGTTTTGTGTCCATCCTTTTTTCACTCCATATTAGATGTGTGCCAGTTTATATTAGATAATATTGGATGTTTCTGCATGCTTATTATTTAGATTACTTTTGCCATCATCTAACTCTGTTATTCTTTAAAATCACTGATAAAGATTACAGTTAACAGCGTTATTAAATTAACACTGTTAATTGTAATATTTAGTAAATGTATTTATACATACAATTTTATATTTATTTCATTTTAAATGCTATTTTTTGTTTCTTTTTAAAATGGTATGCAATTTAATATCAGTCATCGCTGTCTTACAAATGTTTTGGTATCACCTGTATTTTAGATGTATTTCAGTAGTTTTTTTATCGGACTATTGAATATTTAATTGTTCATTCTCATTTTCTCTATATTTAGATTTAAAATTGATCATTAAAACACTAATAATTATTTAATATTTATCTTTAGCAAATCTCAAAATGACTTTTTTTCATATCATATATGTTGTGATGCCTATATTGACTTTTGCATTTATTTTCTAATGTTTTTTTTTTTTTAGACCAAATTGTATAGAATTTTTAATATTGGCCTGTATTGGTTTTTGGTCATAACATGAAAATAATAATCAGCCAGAAATTTTCTAAAGTTTGCATATGGTACATTTGTACTTTCCTTGTAGCTTCTGTCCACTGTCACCCAGTTTTCAGCTCCGTACCCCTTCTTGTTCACACAAGACCGACCCTTGGAGTTCAAAGGTTAGCGTTAAGGAACGCCTTCCTGACATGCAGACAGGAGCCTGTTTGTGCATCTTGACTCCCGACACCCAATAACTCACTTTCTGTCCTTTCAAACAGTGGCCCCCAATGTCATCCTCTTCTGTCACGTTGTTTTGCTAATTGTTTTTCTCTCTTTTCTCGTAGAATGGAAATTCAAGTTGGAATGAGGAAGGCGAGGGTGGGAGAAGCCGAGGAGAGGCCTCCAGAGACTTTGCCAAGGTAAACATTGTTTCTGAGCAATGGTCATTTAGTCATTACACACTTTGTCAGTGACACACAAACACAGTTTTGCTCAGTTATTTAACTTTATAGTAGCATGTAGAGGAAACACTTTTTATAGATTAGGGCTGTTAGTTTTTCATCACAATTAATGTACGCATTCAGTTCATATTTAAAGAAAGAAAATGAAATATACAATTATTGGGCTCTAACATTTTTGTCTGACAGATTACAGAACATGTACACTAATGTTCAAACCTTTAGGGTCTGTAAGGGGTGTTTTTTTTATTGTATTTTTTTTATGTCTCTTATGTTAACCACAGCTGCATTTGTTTGATCAAAAATACAGTAAAAACCGTAATATTGTGAATTATTATTACAATTTATTACAATTACAAATAAATTTTTTCTATTTTAATATATTTTACAATATACTTTATTCCTGTGATGTAAAGCTGAATTTTCAGCATCATTACTGCATTCTTCAGAGTCATATGATCCTTCAGAAATCATTTTAATATGATGATTTGATGCTCAAGAAACATTTCTGATTATTATCAATGCTGAAAACGGTTGTGCTTAATATTTTTGTAGAAAACATAGTACGTATTTTTAGGATTTTTTTTTATTCGAAAGTTCAGATTATATTAGAAAGATGGTATTTAATTTACTTTATCTGAAGTTTCCAGTGAAAAATAAAATAAATTTAAAAAAAAATTTAATGGTCAAATTTAATGATCCATTAACAAATTAACAGTATTATATACTTATTTAATCACATACTGTACATTAACAAATTGACAGCCCTTATTTGATATATATCAATTAGTGCTGTCAAAACGATTAATCGCGATTAATCGCATCCAAAATAAAAGTTTTTGTTTACATAATACATGTGCATCTCAATAAATTAGAATGTCGTGGAAAAGTTCATTGCATGTGTTTTTATATATACATAATAAATATGCAAAGTGTACACACACATATTATGTAAACAAAAACTTTTATTTTGGATGCAATCAATCGCGATTAATCATTTGACAGCACTAACATTAATATATTAAATTCTGTATTTTATTGAGCAAACAAGGACTTTTGTTCAACCTTAAGAACAGTAGCTTTATGTATACAAAGAAATTGACATAAAGAAGTTTCCAAAAGGATGTTACAATGATTAACTAATTAATTGTTAATCACAATTATTCTTTCAGCTTTATGAACTGGACAACGACCCACAACGGAAGGAGTTCCTCGATGACCTCTTTGCATACATGCAGAAACGAGGTAGGACAGGCTCTATTAATCCTATTTCAAACATTAATTTCCTCCCAAAGGGACCTACATCTTGTCTTATCTGTAGGAATAATTGAATCCACTTTAGCGTCACTCTTTGGTGATGAGCGATTTAATCGGACACCTACACCTAGCGTGGAGACGGCCCCCTTA